AAGTTTAATTTTTTGAACGATATTAAATTGTGAATGAAACACACCCACACCTACACAACCGCTATTGTCTGGTTTTGATGCATCAGTAAAGATGTAGTGCCATTCATTCCATTCAATGTCAGTTATAAACATAAATTTGGCATTCAATTCTGAATCATTTTTTAATAACCCAAAATCATATTTAATATTAGGAGATAAAACTAAAGATTGATATGAGCATTTATAAATGGGAAAACAGGACGATGTAAAAGTGGGAGATTCTATGGATTTATATTTTTCATAACTTTGTATTAAACATGGAGGTTTTTTATGTTTCCAATAAGATGAAGACGAAATAAAGATATGTAGTTGAGATAACTTTTGAATAAGCGGATGATCAGATAATTGTAAACAACGAAAAAGAAGCGATCAGATAGATATTGCCTTCTTAAAACCAAAGGTGGATCACCGACTTCGAGCTGTAAAGCATTGATTGGACTTGATTTCATTGCTCCAGAGATAATCCTCAAGGCCTTTGATTGAATTAAATCCAATTTCTTAAAAGCAAATGAACTTCCTGGAGCTAACAAAAAAGTTCCATAATCAATGACACTCCTTATAAGACCATTATAAGCAAGTTTTAGTGAAACGGGATGTGCTCCCCACCAAACTCCAGCAAGGCACCTAAGAATGTTGAGGTTACGCTCACATTTCGTAGAAATATAATTACAGTGGGACAGACCTGTTAATTTATTATCTAGCACGATACCTAAAAATTTAATTTCAGTCTTTATAGGAATGTATGAGTTATCATAAAGCACCTTAATTTGTTGCGGTGATCTCATTCTTGAAAACAAAACTACACTACTCTTGGTTACAGAAAGATTAAGACCATTTGCATCTAACCACGTTTTTAACAAATCTAATGAATCAGATAATTTGGCAGAAGCAGATTCTATGGACTTCGCAATAAAATATAATAAAAGATCATCAGCATATTGTAAAATTTTGACGGATTTATCAAGGAATAATTCTAGATCGTATGTGTATATGTTAAATAAGATTGGACTGAGAACAGATCCTTGTGGAAGGCCTTTCCATACTGTTCTAGATAATTTGGTATCTTCATCTAAATTCATATATATTGTTCTTTCTGATAAAATATTAATAATGAAATTAGAAAGCATTACCGGTACATTTAGAGCTTGTAATTTAGTTTTTAAAATAGAAATTATTACATTATCATAGGCAGAATTTATATCTAAAAAGGCTGAGAGGATTGACAAATTTTGTGAGAAAGCTATATGAATATCTGAAATAAGAATGCTCACATTATCTAAGGTGCTCTTACCTTTCCTAAAACCAAACTGGTTCGGGGATAGTAAGTTATTACTTTCTAAAAACCATTCTAGACGGTTTTTCACTAAATGTTCAGCTAGCTTTAGTAAGACAGAGGAAAGTGCAACAGGACGGTATGAAGATGGTTCAGAAGGTGGTTTATGAGGCTTTAGAAATGGTATAATAATCTGAGACTTCCATGAAGTAGGTATATTTCCCGAAATAATTATGGAATTAATTATATTTAAAAAGTAAATTAATGTCGCATCGCTAGCATTTTTAAAAAAGGAATACGGTATACCGTCTTCTCCCGGTGCAGAGTCTTTAATAGAAGCTAGAACACCTTTAAGTTCTACTAGAGTAAAAGGAGAGTCAAGTTCGAATAATTCGTCAGAGACGGATAGAGAAATATTGTAAAGGCATTCCGGCACATAACTAGGAGCAAGACGATCTAAAAATTTATTCGCTAAAGTTAAATCGAGTGCAGAACGTGATGTATGATCACTAAAGGCAGATCTGAATCTTTTAATATTATTCCAAACGACTGATGAATTAACTTCTGGACAGATAGAAGAACAAAATCTTCTCCAGCCTTCTAATTTCTTTTTTTTCAGTAGTTTTCGAGTAGAACGTGAAACTGCGGTGTAAATTTCAAAATTTTCTGGTGTCATGTAATTATTATAATTTTTTTCAGCCTCTTTACGATTTTTAATTGCTTCCGTACAATCTTTGTCCCACCAAGGTGGCGAGGGAATTTTCCCTGAAGCACTATTTTTAACAGGAAATAATAAATCAGCAACCTCCTTCATATTTATCATCAAGTCATTACAACATTGATGTTCATTTCCATGGTAAACAATAGGTAACTCCGATATTTTATTATCTAAATATTGTTTGTAAATATTCCAGTCTACATTTGATAAATTATATTTAAGCCGAGGACCACTCTTTCGACTTGAGGGAATGGAAATTGGAAAAGAAAGAATGAGGGGAAAGTGATCGCTTCCGAAAGTAGAGGAATGAGGATACCACGACAGTGAAGAAGCTAAATCAGAAGAACATATTGAAATGTCAGGAGCACTAAACCCTTCATTCGGTGCAGTTCTACGTGTTGGTACATCTGAGTTAATAATACATAAGTTGTAAGTGTCAATTATCGTCAGGAGTTTTCCACCATAAAAATTAGAAGTAGAACTGCCCCACGATTGGTGTTGAGCATTAAAATCGCCCATTACGAGAAAAGGTTTAGGTAAAATTGAAAATAATTGTTCTAGTTGTGAATATATTTGGCATGTAGGATCAGGAATATATAAAGTAACAAAACAGATACCATTTATAATTATAGCAGCTGCATTAATGCCGCTATATACAGGAAGCGAAAAAGAAGAAAAAGGAAGGGAGTTTTTGACCAATATGGCAACACCGCCATATCCGTCAGCTCTATCATCACGGAGACTTGTAAAGCCTGAAATCCTAAAAGGATATCCTGGCTTTAACCAAGTCTCTTGGAGAGCTATTATAAAAGGATTATATTTATTAATTAAATAAAATAAGTCTGATTTCTTGTTTGTTATGCTACGACAGTTCCACTGAATTATTAGGACTTTGTAATCCATTGTGAGAAGTTAATAATTGAGAAAATACATTGTAAATGGCATCGTTGGACGGTGGTAAAGTTGTTTGTATCATTTTCGATTGCGATAATACTTTAATAAGCATGAGAATAATATCAAAGATGGATTGATTATTGTCAATATTATTTGATGATAATGCACAACCATTAGAGGGAGCAGGAATATTATATTCCTTAACTATGGCTTCATGGGCAGAACGATCATATCCTTGTTGTGCTTTTTGAGGAGAGCGTGGTTTAAGTGTAACTGTTTTTTTATATGATGATTGAATATGTGGTAATGATGATTTCTCTTTAAGGAAAGAAGATTGAAAATGAGATTTATTGGACAGAGATGATGATGTTAATACATCTGAATATAGTTTAGAAGTGGGAGGATGAAATTTTGATGCTTCAGCATAAGAAACACAACTGTGGGCCATTGTTTCTTTAATGGCTTTCTGACGTGCATATTCAGGACATTTCTTACTAATTGCTGAATGAGAACCATTACACAAGATACAAGAAACATTTTCCTCATCTACTTCACATTTATCACCTGTATGATTTAGCCTGCATTTATAACATCGAGGATTTGAACGACACTGCATCTTGACATGTCCGAACCTACAGCAGTTATAGCATTGGATAGTGGGGTAAATGTACAAATCTACAGTTAATGATGTGTAAAACATAAATACTCTTTTTGGTAATATTTGTCCATCAAAAGTAATAACAATGGTTTCAGTATTAATAAAACTTGGTTGTCCTTCATTAATGGTCTTTTTCTTAATTCTTCTGGTTTTTAGAATTCTCCCACAACCTATAGGTACTGATATATTTTGGATTACTTCCTCTTCTGTCCAATCTTTAGGAATACCCCTCACAATTCCCATACGGGTTACATGGAAAGAAGGTATAAATGCCTTAAAATTATGTGTTTCTAAGTGACTATTATTTAAAAATGCATTTGCATTTTCAAAATTTGAGAAAGAAAGCGATAAACGGTTTCTTCCTATTCTTTTGAGGCTACCATTCACTATATTATTTATCTTATTAGTGTGTAAAAAGCGACCAAATGCAATAGGATGTAATGTAGTGTTATCATTAGGATGTGTTTCATTTTTTTGTACATGAACGACATAAGGAGCTACATCCTCGGCATTGTACAAAGTTCTGCTTAAAGTACTGGGTGGAGAAGCAGGTTTAACAGACTCGGTATTATTTACAACTGGTATTGATACTTGAGTTTGATTCTCATCCTCAATACATTGACAATCACTATCTTTAATTTTAGATTCGAGACCTTTGGTGTGCCTCCTTCGTTTTTTATTGCAATGTTTGCAAATGCGACGTTCGCCACGTACTCGCTTACGTTTAGAACTTGCAACGCTAGAACCATCTGTGTCCATACTAGATTCACCCAATATATCAAAACTATTATTAAATGGGATAGTTATATTTGCAGACACCTGGGGGTTGTCCCCCCAGGGTCTATAGGTGGATCCATAATGTCTAGTTAATATAGGTAATTTACTTACCAATATTTACAGCAACAAACACTATTACTACAAAATATACAATTATATATACAATCTAATACACAATATATAAATAAGACTAATCCTTATATAATTAAAAATAAAATTAATTTAAAGAAGATCAAAAAACACTCCCGCTTTTTTAAACGTTTCCCGCGCTTTTTCAACAGATTTCAAGTAATAGTTTTATAACGCCAATTCTTTATTCGCTTATTTTCCACAGACAATATCTATATATTATTTTTATTACCATAGACTGACAGTAGGCAAAAGCATAAACTTATACATTCTTAACAGCAAGATGACAATCTAATATAATAATTGTAGTACGATAAATATTTATGTATAGTTCTAGAAATAATGTATATGGTAAAACAACGTTTGCCGAGTCAGCTAGTAATAATATAAAAATAATAGGCGAACACCACATCTATTATTATAATATATAATCTATAACTTGTAGAACCAGTACAATCCTTTATCTATACTTAATCAATCTAGCATTAGGAAGCAAATATGCTATGTAACAACATTTTTAAATAATTAGTAATCGATTCTGAAGTATTCGCGCAGTGTTTGCTGTTTATATACATAACTAATTGTATCTCACGACTTCACTCGTGATTGTATTGTGATGTAGAATAACCTATAAACTTCTTTTAGAATAAACTATGAAATGCAAAAATAAATTTTCAAATTCTATTAAAACCGAATAGTTCCTGAGATTAGCACATTCAAACAAACAAAAAATTTTCCACTTTCCTGACTCAAGCGATTAACCTTGTACGGGCAAAACTTGTGTTGTGTTCACAAAGTAGGTAGATTAATAAATCAACATGTGTGATGTTATTTAAATTACTCTATGTATGTTTATATTTTTTTTAAATATTTACCCTGTTTTGTTCTCTAATTTTTCTTTGTATTTACATTTATTTCCACACTTATATGTTTAATCACTGCATTTTTTAGAATAAATATCCATTACAATTAATAATATAAATCAAACAAGGGCCTTATTGAATCATGAAAGAAGCTAAACAGACTCCAATAGAAGATTTAGCTGATTTACGAAGCTATTTCACGTCTCACAATGTTATCAGGGAACACATAGCTCATAGTTCAAAAGTGCATTCTGTAGGCTGGTCTTGTGATGGTAGACGCCTTGCTTCTGGTTCATATGATAAAAGTGTTGTCACATTCACCTTGGAAAGAAACAGATTGGTAAGTTTATCGTAAATTTCTTATATCTAGGTTATGCCGTATCGGAATATAATTATAGTTTGTTTCATATTAATGAAAATGTAAAAAAGAATAATTACTTGAGCATAAGATAGTCTGCAGATGTCCTATATTAATGCAAATTAAGCATCGAATAATTGAATGAATGTTTCGGTTTGTTACTCCATTTAGTTTAATAAAACTTAATAAAAAATCAACCAAGTTTTGTTAAAATTATCACAGAAAGATTCTAAATGCAATTGGTAAAAAGGTGAAACATTTATTCAATTGATCGATTTTATCTGGCTCATCAGTAGATGGGCCTCAAAAACGTCATATTCTTCATATTTCACCACTGAAAAGTTACAATAAAATAAAAACTTTTTAATTTGTATTACTTATTATTATTATATTTCATTGTCAACTTAAAATGGAAATAATTGTTGCTTTCAAGGTTCAAGACTTTGTGTTTCGAGGGCACACAGGGTCAGTGGATCAACTGTGCTGGCATGCTTCACATCCTGACTTATTAAGCACAGCCAGCGGTGACAAATCTGTTAGGATATGGGATACAAGGTAACTAACTATATTTGTTTTATTATTATTGTAGTCTATAAATAAGTTTGTATCTGCCAAAGTACAATGGATTTTAATCTAAGTTTCACTATAATTAAATATTTTTTATAAAAGGTTTGCTACATACAAAAAGTTTATTTATAATATACTATATCCTAACTAAACTTTTAATATGAAACCAATCATCCATAAACAACTTTAGTGCAGTAGTGTGCAGACCAGTTGGCCGATGGTGATAAATTCAACAAGAATTAACTACAATAGTTTATAAGGAGAATCACATGGAAATGCACCTGATATGTTATACTGCTAGTAATTGGGCATTTAGAACACTATTACTAATAATTCTTTTCTCCTCAGTACTCTACCTATCTTCTAAGATAATGAAAGTAGAGCCATATCTGACAAGTGTTCTGTTTTTTCTGCTCTTGTTATTACAGTTATTTGTTTTAGATCCCACAAATGTGCAGCAACAATAGCAACAAAGGGTGAGAATATCAACATAGCGTGGTCACCCAATGGCAGCACAATAGCTGTGGGAAACAAGGAGGATCTGGTTTCCTTCATAGACACAAAGACTTATAAAGTGGTCTGTAATTATATACTGCACTAGTTTATTCTCCTACTTCATCTCTGTAATAGGAGTATGTTGATTAATTGGGATAAATGGCATTGATTTATTAGGATTAATGGCAATTCATTAAGGATACCATAAGCATCACAGTGTATTTAGTAATGTTTAAGTTTACTTAGTACTTTTAGTTTATTTATCCTCTCTTTATCACACTCTCTCTTTGTTGCTGCCTCTGTATACTTTACTAGTACCAAAACTGTCCAAAAAAATAACTGAATTTCTCCAAACATATTTCACTTTTCTGTAACAATTTTATTGTCTAAAATTTCATGAAAAGAAAATTTTTACCCTAAAAAATGAAAAAAGTACCCAATCTGGCAACTCTGTTATTAAATTCTATTGAAACATACATAATAAAGTTCTTATTTGTTTCACTGATAGGTTGTTGAAGAGCAATTCAATTTTGAAGTAAATGAAATCTCATGGAATAACTCATCAGATCTCTTCTACTTGACCAATGGACTTGGATGTGTTCATATATTAACGTAAGTCACCAACTGCTTTTTTAATTCATATTACCTAATGGACAATTCAAATGTTACAAATACAAATAAATAATTTATACCTACGTCTTATGATCAATGTGCCTTAAATTACATCATCTAGTATTATATTTCTATTATAATTTCGATTTACTATATATGTTATAATATACTCGTAGGTTACATAGCTTCACAATTTTTTTTTATATTTTTGCCTGCTACTTCATTGCGTGCATTTTAGAAGTAATATCACTAATGAAGTAAATGACTTTTCGAAGCTGTATCAATATAAAACATACATCAGATTTTAAAATAGACCTTCAAGAATACAATTGTGAAATCTGCATTAAATTTGGTGCACTAGTTTGTATGCAATGCCAGATCAAACATACAGATAAACAAAAGTTCTAAAAATTATTGTTTTGGCATCTTTTGTTTTTATTAAGGCCTCTTATATTATTTTTTCTAAAATATCTCCCTTGAACAAAAATCATCTAGTTACAATTTTACTAGTTTTTTTTTAATGGGTGAAAATGGCATGGTAATCCTGCCTGTGCTATCGGTTTACTCGGGGCACCAGTGAGGGATGATAGGTGAGGATGAAAAGGCAGGTGATTTAGCTCTTTGTGATGAATTCAAGTCACGATAGTTTCCAGTCGACCTGATACCCTATATTGATAGCAATGGGGACTACCCTCCCCATTACTAATAATCCCTTTTCTCCATTTTATTAGTACTATTAGTATAAAAGAAAATATTGTAAATTATGAAGTGCTATTTTTAAAGTATTATATACTTGTATTTATACTTTTTCAGATATCCCTCGCTGGAACTGCAAACGGTTTTAAAGGCGCACCCTGGCACGTGTATCTGCATCGAGCACGATCCCACCGGAAGGTACTTTGCTACCGGCTCAGCTGATGCACTCGTTTCATTATGGGATGTCAATGAGCTTGCGTGTTTAAGAGTTTTTTCAAGGTATGTATAGTCACAATCAGATTTTTTCATTATACTTAATTTTAAAATATTACTTTTTAAATAATTTACTCGTATTATTTGACAAAAGTAACGAACAAGCATACAGTACCAGGTGAAACTCGCATTGTTGACATTGAGGCAAAAAGCCATCGGTAAAAAATTGGAAGTTTCCCTAAAATTGCAGTATACGCAATCATATAGATGGAAAAAATTGTGCCTGGAACCAAATACTCGCTACTTTTCTATTTCCTACTGAGCAGCAGCGGGAATGTGTTGCTTGCTTTGAAGGAAGCTGGCGTGATGATATGGTGATATTTTAAATAAAATATAAAATTTGTTTACAGCACTGTCTTGTCTCCGATGTAGCGGAAATAAGGGCCATTGTTGCCATATTACATAAAATATAAATTTTATTTTAATGTTTCGATATAAAAGGTTGCAACACCTACCTAGTTTACTACTTTTTTAACTTTTTTTTATATTAGGTTGGAATGGCCGGTACGAACATTGTCATTTAGCTTCGATGGTCGGCTGTTGGCGTCAGGCAGCGAGGATCATATTATAGATATTGGAGACACAGAGACTGGTATACTTTTCAATTATTGTAAATTAATATTATTCAATTTCCTTTTTTGCTAATACTTATCTAAAGAGGCTTTTTGAGATGAATGTCATGTTTTTAAATTTATTTGTGTAATAATATTTTTTTATATTTTTAGGTGAGAAAGTAGCTGAGATACCTGTGCAAGCATCCACGTTCACAGTGGCCTGGCATCCATCCCGTTACTTAGTGGCCTTCGCTTGCGAGGATAAGGAGCCGCCAGAGAGGAAAAGGGATGCTGGAAATCTCAAACTGTGGGGGTTACCAAATAACGGCTAGACTCCCTAACCATTTTGTGTTATTGTGAAGACGATTGTGATTTTACCTCTAATGCGGTACCTCTGTTGACTATAATTAATAGTAGTCTGCATACCCCAAATAAAACTGAAATGAATGATGAATGTTCATACCATAAAAAGGACTGAATTAGGTTATGATAAATAAAAATAGTATAAAATATAATTATTATTTTTAAAAGTATTTATACAATATCACATAGATACATTCGTCATATATTGATTTCTTTTGTAAAAACACAACCCCATTTTTTTTTATATACATATTGTCCTAAGAACTTTACTTATTACCAGGTTTCAGTCTGGAAACGTCCATCTCGCTCCATATTCTTCAAAATTTCTTTAGCGTCTTCAGTAGAGTGACCACCAGACGCGATGACCTCCACAATAGCTTCGCGCACATTGTCTGGCATATTTTTAGCGTTTCCCGACAGAAATATGCTAGCTTTTTCCGTGTTAATGAGACACCATAGATCGTTCTTGTATTCTATTATTTTGTGTTGCACATATCTGTGAAGATAACTAAATGGTCACAACAAATCCAAATAACCTAATCGCTTCTGACCACCCTACCATTACTTGATTTTTACTGCAATTGTGGTAAGCTAATATGATATAAGGTGAATCATTTCTGAAATCTGTGAAAGTCTAAAAGTAATCGCATTTCACTGATAAGTATCTTTATTAGACACACTTTTATTAGATTAGAGGATCGCGAACAGTCGATGGTTCTGTTCATTTTTATAAGCGACAAAAGAAATACCAATTTCCTTCATATGGTTCGCGTAAACTTATTTTAAATTGACGATAGAGACTTTATGCGACGTGATTACAAATAAATAAATAATCTATTTGTGGGGTACCTCTTTCTATTACATCTTTCTATTGTTCCCTATTGGCTACCCTTTACGGCCTTAGTCTTCTAAGTTCTTTCTTATAATATACATATATTTCTAATTTCCATTCCTTGTTTATTATTTATTACCTACGTTGCAACCCGTAAACTTGCTAACCTAATTCTTTTAAATAGAAGTTATAATGTACTAACATTTTTTCCTCTTGGTCTCTTGAGAAGGCACAATACAAACTTAATTTCCCATTAGCTACCAACATTTCTAATTCATTCCTGCAGTGATAATCTTTGTCTTTATACCGGCAACCGAAGAAAAGGTGCATTGTTTGTTTATTCAGTGTATCCTGTATATCACATTCTTGTAATAAACTTCTAAAGGGAGCCAATCCTGTGCCTGGTCCAATTAAAATATTTGGTATATTCTGAAATAAAAGAGAGCTTGGTTTAAGAACACTAAGCCAACACACACAGGCTATGAGTGAATGAATATATAACGCGAAAATGGAAGGAAAAATGCAAATGACAGAATAAAGAGTGTCACCCCTAGCGGATGGCAGTAAGGCAGACTATTCGTTTTTTGATCATATTTATTCGACTAATAGCTTTTTGCTCGCCACTTTGTACGAATGGATTTCAGAAGTAGAAAATCCAATGAAAAAATAAACATTTCTAAATAGCATATGTAGATAAAACATATACAGGTTTTTATGTTAGACATTCAGGAATACAACGGTGGAACCGCATTGAATTTGGATTACTGCACTATTTTTGCGTGAAGCTAGACCAAACAGCAAAATTTCTAAAAATAGTTATTTTGATTCTAATACTAATTAAACCCCTAATAAAATTAATTAAGACTGCGTAATAATTTTTTTTCTAAAATATCTCCCATCAACAGAGATCGTCTAGTTACAATTTTAATAGTATTATTAGTATAAAAGAAAATATTTGTAAGATATATATTTGTACTTTTTCAGCTATCCCTCGCCGTAACTGCAAACGGTTTTGAATGTGCACCTTGACCTTAAGTTACAATTTTATTATTATATATATTTAACTTTTATATTGAACCCATTCTGTTAAAAAACTGCCACTTTACACTCCATATATTTTCACTTTCCCCTATCTCTTATAGACTCTAAAGAAAATATAATAATAAAGCATGTAACTTTTGTTGCTGAATCTAAATAATAATAATACCTTATCTTGGGGAAAAACAAACGTTCCTTTCTTAATCCAAGCATAAACTTTGTCCCCTGGATTTAATCCGGCTAACCAGTTAGAACACAATCCAAGACGAACTTTCTTTAGGTTTGTGTAATATTTAACAACGGCGACGAGTAATTCTACATTGCGCCCACTGCTGGGAAGACAGCTGCTGGCGATGGAGAATGAACGAGGTTTTATTGTAGAGAATAGTTCGAATAATATATCTATAGACAGTTCAGAGGCAGATTTGTGAAAATCGTGTAGGACCTGCAAGAGTGAGAAAAATATTTTTTTTTGTTAATGTGTAATAACATGTAAAAACTTGTGTCACATGAATAATATTCGCACAGACGTATCTTGACTAGTATTTTTTTCTTTTGGGTAACACCACAAGTACGCTATAACTAAATCACTATGTAAAATAAACAAGGAAATGTATTTTACAGGGGAAATTTCTGTTATAGCAATTCAGAAACGAATAAGTAGTGACATTGTCAAATTTGGTATGGTGGATGCTCTAAATAGCAATCGAGATCGCCAGTTTATTTAGTACTCCTGATAGTATGATAAAAATCTATATAAGCACCTCAAGTATCGTCCTCTTTGGTCTCCTACAATAGTTTAGCCAATCTTCTTGTCCCTCAGGAGAGCTAAGCTCTCTACATTTATCTTTTTCTAATTTATCCCTTGATACTAATGCTAGAAGTGAAAAAACATATTGCGTAGGGTATGCTCGTAAGTCCCAATATTGTTCGGCGATTTCATACAATGTTAGTGGGGTATGAAGAAAATCTGGAACTGGCATGTCTGGAAAAAAAGAACCTACATACACACTTTGTACAGAAAAAATATGCTTTTTTTACTATATCTTTAATATTTCTGAAGAACTTCAAAAACGAGCGGCAATTTTAAGTGTATTTTAAGCATCAGAATGTGACAAAATAAAATTTCTAATTTCCTCACATATGGTGTTCCTTGTTTTCAGTTTACGTGTGTGAATAAGCTCCTAATTCAGGTATAAATTATGTACTATTACAGGTATGAATAATAGGTGGTAACATAAGAATTAGGCACTAATTATAATTAGTTCATAAAGGTAAAATAAAAATTCATTAAGTTTATTATTTAAAAATATATATTTATTCATCTTCCTGTTGCCAGCCGTCGTCATCACTCAAGAAGCGGCGTTTGGCGGCCGTGTTCATGTAAGGGCGGAGAGCCCATTCTGTGTCTGCCGCGTCTAGTGCCTCCAGTGTGCCCAATTTTATCTCATAAAGCTTCATTTGGAAACGCGGGCCAATCTCTGATAAATCAATATCTTTGCCTTTCTGGAAGAAGGATATTTTATTTTTATAAATATCATGGATTAACCAATTATAATTGTAATTTTTCGTTTTTTATTATACTTCAGTTTGAAATAGTAAACTATCCAATTATATGATGAAGTGATATATATCACCTATAGAAATAAGGAATATAGTCTCTAACATATTTAACTGAGGGAGGTAGGGAAATAAAGATACAAAGGATTTTGTGAAGTACCTATGAATAACAAGAAAAATGTAAATAGGACTCTATTTAAATTTTTCTTGTTATGTTCTTTATATCTTGTTTGGGCCGTTGTGCGTATGAGTCGTGGCTAGTACAGCCAACCTAGTTCCGCCCAGAAGCACAGAAGCTTCCTGGGATAATAGATCCCAAGAAGCTTCTATATTTCCCCTATCATTATTTTGAGGTTTGTCCTATCTAGATGTAATAAACGTTTTGATAGTCGTTGATTCAATGTAGGCATGACCAATTTTGATTGTCTGCAATCAGTAGCCTGTATCCATCTTTGGTTTTGTATGTCAGCGGATCTTTGTATTCGAAATTGCGAGAACGGAAGAGGAAGAAGTGGATAACAAAAAACATACTGATTCAATTACAAATATTAATTGAATACTATATATACCTTTCTATATGTGTGCTGTCTGAAGCAGATATAGTCATCATGATTGGCAAAAGTGATTACTCGCTTAGAATCTGGTTTGGGTACTGGAAACAGGTACTTTAGTATACTCATTGTCCTTAAACCTGAAACAGTGATTTCCATATAAGTAATTTATTATACAATTTTCTTGATTTTTTTCGATTTTTTTTTGATAATGAATTTTTAAAAAACAAAAAATTGAGTAAAAAGTAAAAAACAAATGAAATTATTGATTTTTGAATGGATTAGGGTGAATTTAAGGGACAAAAACCTTGTTCCCTTATTTTTTCCAAAATTTCAATCAATTGGTCCGGGAAAAACCGTTGAACCGATCGCTCCAGGGATTTAGGGGGTTCTTTAAGGAACAATAGACTGTAAAATTTTCCTCAAACCTTAGCTTTCCCGCCCATATTAGCGAAGATACAGCCAAGTAACCAAAAAAGGAGAAAAAGTCACTTTTTTCCACTTTTTTCAATTTAATGTTAGAGGTGGAAAAAAATTTTTTCTTCACTAACTCTTGACTGTGCTTAATTGGAAATTTTATGCAGATAAAGAAACTCGGCGCCCGCTTGCTGTGCGACCAAGTAGTTCCAGAGATATTAGCAGTTGAATGGAAAAGGATGCTTTTGCATTCAAAGTTCGATATCTCGGAGACAAATGGTCGTAATTGAGCCATCCAAAGCGATTTTTGAAGCTGAATAAACACGCTAAGAGACCTATACAATGGAGTAGCTCGAAAAAATTTTTCCATGCCCATAGAGTGAAAAACGAAACCTAGAAAATTTTGAAAAAATTTATTTTTAGCTTTGTTTAAGAATTGCATGGAAACCGGAGCTCAAAAAATTTTTTCACCAAAAAATCTGAAAACTAGAGTTTTCAAGCTTCAAAACCCTTTTTTAAATTTCCTGTACGATTATTTTTCACTGAAATACAGCCTGTTGAAAATCACCCAAAAATTTCAAAAATTTTTATGTTCCCTTAATTTTTGCGAGGAGTGTAGAAATTATAAAAGCTAAAAAAATGGTTAAGTTTAATACAGAATTACAAAGCCAAGCATGTGAAAAAGTATTGAAAATTTTATGCTTACCAAGTTCAGATTTGAAATTGTGAAACACTAGATGTGGATACTGTTCACTCATTGGACCAATTTCTGGTATGTCATGCCTCATTACAACTCCTGACAGAGTGAATGAAGCTGTAGGTCCATGTGGTAAGTGGCATATTACCTGAAAGGTATCAAGTTGTTTATGGTAGATACAAACAACACATATGAATACAATGAGTATATTTAATGAGATTAAAGCCACAAGTGCCCTATGCCATTTCAAAATATAAATCACATTAGTGACTGAAGTTGTGGAATCAAATGGAAGCCAACTTCTTAGTTATATAGTTAAGGTTTGTAGTAATTTTAGTATTTATTCAAATTCCAATTTATTTCAATTTCTAATATAAACATACCAAACTATCTGGTACTCCTCTATGTTCATGTACAACAATAAAGTCCGTGACTTCATTGGCTCTGCAAGCATGTATTAACTGTGACATCTCATATCCACCTCGATTCATACGTTGGCTGTTTGGAAATATTAATCTGAAAAAAAAAAAAAGGACAATACAAGAAATATTTACAGTTGTAATGGTCACCTCATTTATTTTTATTTGCTTTTATGAATGTAGGCTTTAATTGTACTTAATTTTATCCTATATAAGTATAAATAAAAGAAAAATAAATTTAAGAAATTATTTTTCTATACCCAGACATTTATTATTGCTTATCTTCATTGCTCCAATCAAAAATTCACCACCCTTTAATATATGAAACATTCTTTGTTTTTAATTTATACATTAAAGTACCATTTTAAGCAGATAAATTAGAAATTTGATTCCCTGAGGACTAAGGGATAGCAACACGTGAGAGCCTCTGTACCCTGTAATTAGTGGAATTACAGGTAAAACTAACACCATAACATACCTCAATTCTTTTACAAACATTTTGAGCCTTGCACTTGGTTCCCTAGAGGTGGTAATCATAATTTTTGGATCTTCAACTCCAGCATATCTATATTCATCATCCTGTGAGTTGAGAGTATTGGTGCCTCCACTGAAGCCACCAATAACAGCAGCACGCTCTGGTCCTAGAATTAGAAATTTCAAAAATAATAAAACAATTTGTCTTATGTTATAAATGTGAAAGTATATAAATTATTTGTTAGTAAGATAGGAAAAATTTAAAAAAAGCTTTTTAATCAAAACAGAAAACATCATACAAAATTGTACATACATCTGATCGATATATGTACAATTTTGTTTATATTTGTTAGTAATGTTTGCATTATAATATACAGCGTGCATATATAAGGTACTAATTAACTGTATAAAATTAATTGTTAACATATAATTGAGGTTATGTTTCAATGCTTTATGAATAAATACTAACCTTTATCTTCATATTCAATTTTCTTCTGTAAAGCTAGTGCTTCCTTCCTTAAATCGCCGTGTATAGGAATGTTCTCCTCCAAACTTCTTTTTAACTGATCTTTCTTAGCTTGAATACTTTTTTGTCTGTCTTCCACTGATTTTCTGTACAAATATTCGCGGCGCAAACGCGCCTGCCGTCGCAACATTGTTATTTTATTTTTCAAGGTAATAACGTTAAAATATTATGTGTTTCTTAAAAGTCGCATGTTATGAAATATAACAGAAAATAAAAAAAAAATTAAGGCGGCATTATTAAAAGATATTATAGAAAAACAACACTACAGATTTTATTTTAGACACTTGACACGTGTTGGATTTGACATTTATTTTTTTTTTTTTTTTTTTTTTTTCTTTTTTTGTGGCGTTCACCCCGATATTAGGGTATTTTGCCAAGAACAAAACGGGGAAACGATAATAGTAATAAAAATACCTAACACAAACGAATTTAGAAAGGATAAGGATTAGGTCTAGGATATTTATAGGATATGAAGGATATACTTGTACATATGAGAATATACTTATAAATATATAGGAAAAGCAATTGATGCAACTATAAATGTATTCATGTAATATAACTAAATCTTAATATTGTTATCATATATATATGAAGATAGTATTTTATAGATAATAGGATCATTGGAAGAAAGTAGAGTAAGAATAGAAGTTGGGAATGGAACACGGATGGATCGGAGATGATTAAAAAGGGAGGTGTGGTCAAATTTAGAACATGAGAAGAATATATGATTCAAGTCCGCCACTTCAGCACCGCAATTACACGACGAACTTTGTACAATACCAAGCTTGTATAAATGAGAAGGTGTGCATACGTGACCTAGACGCATACGAGTTATAATAGTTGTTGCGGTCTTTCCAAGCTTTAATTTAGAAAACCATGGTTTGAAAGGAATATCGGGTTGTATAAGGCGATAAAATCTTCCTTTTATTGTACTTGTTTTTTCCCAATATTCCTTCCAGGCATACCTTAAATATATTTTTGGGAGACAAGCTAGGTCACTACAGTAATTATGATACGGATACATATCACCACAAGTTACAGCCTCTCTTGCAATAAGGTCAGCTTTGTCATTGCCGCTAATACCACTGTGTCCTGGTAACCAGACAAAAGAAACGGAATAACCTCTCAACATGCAAAGATAAAGACTTTGTCTTATGTCACAAATAATGGGATAAACTGGTTTTGATTTAAACGGATATTTGGCTAGAGCTTGCAAAGAGCTCATAGAGTCAGTGAAAACTATTGCCTTATGTAATTTCATTAAAAGTATATATTCTACAGCTTTAAAAATACCATAACATTCCCCGGTAAAAACTGAAGACTCCGGTGGAAGTTTAATTTTTTGAACGATATTAAATTGTGAATGAAACACACCCACACCTACACAACCGCTATTGTCTGGTTTTGATGCATCAGTAAGGATGTAGTGCCATTCATTCCATTCAATGTCAGTTATAAACATAAATTTGGCATTCAATTCTGAATCATTTTTTAATAACCCAAAATCATATTTAATATTAGGAGATAAAACTAAAGATTGATATGAGCATTTATAAATGGGAAAACAGGACGATGTAAAAGTGGGAGATTCTATGGATTTATATTTTTCATAACTTTGTATTAAACATGGAGGTTTTTTATGTTTCCAATAAGATGAAGACGAAATAAAGATATGTAGTTGAGATAACTTTTGAATAAGCGGATGATCAGATAATTGTAAACAACGAAAAAAGAAGCGATTAGATAGATATTGTCTTCTTAAAACCAAAGGTGGATCACCGACTTCGAGCTGTAAAGCATTGATTGGACTTGATTTCATTGCTCCAGAGATAATCCTCAAGGCCTTTGATTGAATTAAATCCAATTTCTTAAAAGCAAATGAACTTCCTGGAGCTAACAAAAAAGTTCCATAATCAATGACACTCCTTATAAGACCATTATAAGCAAGTTTTAGTGAAACGGGATGTGCTCCCCACCAAACTCCAGCAAGGCACCTAAGAATGTTGAGGTTACGCTCACATTTCGTAGAAATATAATTACAGTGGGACAGACCTGTTAATTTATTATCTAGCACGATACCTAAAAATTTAATTTCAGTCTTTATAGGAATGTATGAGTTATCATAAAGCACCTTAATTTGTTGCGGTGATCTCATTCTTGAAAACAAAACTACACTACTCTTGGTTACAGAAAGATTAAGACCATTTGCATCTAACCACGTTTTTAACAAATCTAATGAATCAGATAATTTGGCAGAAGCAGATTCTATGGACTTCGCAATAAAATATAATAAAAGATCATCAGCATATTGTAAAATTTTGACGGATTTATCAAGGAATAATTCTAGATCGTATGTGTATATGTTAAATAAGATTGGACTGAGAACAGATCCTTGTGGAAGGCCTTTCCATACTGTTCTAGATAATTTGGTATCTTCATCTAAATTCATATATATTGTTCTTTCTGATAAAATATTAATAATGAAATTAGAAAGCATTACCGGTACATTTAGAGCTTGTAATTTAGTTTTTAAAATAGAAATTATTACATTATCATAGGCAGAATTTATATCTAAAAAGGCTGAGAGGATTGACAAATTTTGTGAGAAAGCTATATGAATATCTGAAATAAGAATGCTCACATTATCTAAGGTGCTCTTACCTTTCCTAAAACCAAACTGGTTCGGGGATAGTAAGTTATTACTTTCTAAAAACCATTCTAGACGGTTTTTCACTAAATGTTCAGCTAGCTTTAGTAAGACAGAGGAAAGTGCAACAGGACGGTATGAAGATGGTTCAGAAGGTGGTTTATGAGGCTTTAGAAATGGTATAATAATCTGAGACTTCCATGAAGTAGGTATATTTCCCGAAATAATTATGGAATTAATTATATTTAAAAAGTAAATTAATGTCGCATCGCTAGCATTTTTAAAAAAGGAATACGGTATACCGTCTTCTCCCGGTGCAGAGTCTTTAATAGAAGCTAGAACACCTTTAAGTTCTACTAGAGTAAAAGGAGAGTCAAGTTCGAATAATTCGTCAGAGACGGATAGAGAAATATTGTAAAGGCATTCCGGCACATAACTAGGAGCAAGACGATCTAAAAATTTATTCGCTAAAGTTAAATCGAGTGCAGAACGTGATGTATGATCACTAAAGGCAGATCTGAATCTTTTAATATTATTCCAAACGACTGATGAATTAACTTCTGGACAGATAGAAGAACAAAATCTTCTCCAGCCTTCTAATTTCTTTTTTTTCAGTAGTTTTCGAGTAGAACGTGAAACTGCGGTGTAAATTTCAAAATTTTCTGGTGTCATGTAATTATTATAATTTTTTTCAGCCTCTTTACGATTTTTAATTGCTTCCGTACAATCTTTGTCCCACCAAGGTGGCGAGGGAATTTTCCCTGAAGCACTATTTTTAACAGGAAATAATAAATCAGCAACCTCCTTCATATTTATCATCAAGTCATTACAACATTGATGTTCATTTCCATGGTAAACAATAGGTAACTCCGATATTTTATTATCTAAATATTGTTTGTAAATATTCCAGTCTACATTTGATAAATTATATTTAAGCCGAGGACCACTCTTTCGACTTGAGGGAATGGAAATTGGAAAAGAAAGAATGAGGGGAAAGTGATCGCTTCCGAAAGTAGAGGAATGAGGATACCACGACAGTGAAGAAGCTAAATCAGAAGAACATATTGAAATGTCAGGAGCACTAAACCCTTCATTCGGTGCAGTTCTACGTGTTGGTACATCTGAGTTAATAATACATAAGTTGTAAGTGTCAATTATCGTCAGGAGTTTTCCACCATAAAAATTAGAAGTAGAACTGCCCCACGATTGGTGTTGAGCATTAAAATCGCCCATTACGAGAAAAGGTTTAGGTAAAATTGAAAATAATTGTTCTAGTTGTGAATATATTTGGCATGTAGGATCAGGAATATATAAAGTAACAAAACAGATACCATTTATAATTATAGCAGCTGCATTAATGCCGCTATATACAGGAAGCGAAAAAGAAGAAAAAGGAAGGGAGTTTTTGACCAATATGGCAACACCGCCATATCCGTCAGCTCTATCATCACGGAGACTTGTAAAGCCTGAAATCCTAAAAGGATATCCTGGCTTTAACCAAGTCTCTTGGAGAGCTATTATAAAAGGATTATATTTATTAATCAAATAAAATAAGTCTGATTTCTTGTTTGTTATGCTACGACAGTTCCACTGAATTATTAGGACTTTGTAATCCATTGTGAGAAGTTAATAATTGAGAAAATACATTGTAAATGGCATCGTTGGACGGTGGTAGACATTTATTTTTGAGACTGACAGCTTGCTTTTACTTTCCGCCATAGATTAAGGATAATAGATTCGATATACTTACCTAGTTAATTTTATCATTATTGTTGAAGCGAATTATCCGATTTCTACTATCGATTTTGTAAATCCGTTTATCTATAATTTTAATATTTCCACATAAAATAAGTAGTTAATTTTATATTACTTTTTATATAATTAAAATAAAAACTCCAGTTTAAAAATTCTATTTGACAAGACAATGTTCATTTTCTTATTATGATTTTTTATTTATCTTTATTCTAGCAATATACGCCGGGTTTGCATCGACCGAAGATGTTTAATTTTTTTTTAAATAAAATAAAGCTGTTATATTCGGTTAAAATGTAGCTTTCTTTAGGTGAAAGAATTTTTAAATTTGGTAAGTATTTTATGAATTTATCCATTACAAGCATAAAAATGAAATATATCCTCATTATATTAGTTTAGAAAATAATTTAAACAACGCCATCTAACAGTAATAAAAGTATTACTGTTGTAAGAAAATTAATCTATTATATGGTGTTGTAAATAGTTCTCATTTACATAAAGAGCAACAATGTTTTGTAATGATGAGCATTATTATAAGTTATTATAATATTTTTAGAATTCAATATTAAAACATAAATATTTTTAAAATAATTTCCCCCTCCCCTGGTTTTTATTACTTATTTATATTTATTTAACCAATGCATATTATATGGTTACCTTCATGAAGTTCTTCAACTAATAATCGGAAGTTAGGTTTTATATCAATATCATGCAATTGGAAAATGTTGAAAAGTTCATCTATGTCTTCCTTTCTATTTCGTGGTCTTATGTTGAACACATCACCTGGTTTATAGTTCAATACACTATTTACTGTTTTAAAAGTCATCAATCTTACATCCTGAAAAAATATATAATCTTTACTTAATATTATAAATGTGAAAGTGAGTTTTTTAATACTACTATTGTGGCAAATAAACATATGGCCTATTTAATGGTTTACAGAAGTTCAACATATAGTTACCTTAACAACTTCAATCAATACAATCAATTGTCATGAGATTTGGTATACATTCACTATTTGGGATGGAGAAGGACATATCAATCAATCAATGGCTCTTTGACAAAACTTAGTTAAATAACCTATAGTAGCTTTATACAAAAATTTTGGATACTAGAGTTAATACTAAAAAAACTAAGTATTTAAACAAAAGCAAGTAATTAAAAAAAGAGTTTAATAATTTATTTCATTAATAGTGTTAAAGAATTATCTAAATATTTCAATCATGGGGAAACTTTAAAAATTAAATGTTCTTTTTTAACTGTATTACACATGTTCATGTGAAGTTTCATGAAAATTGAAGCTGCAAAATATAATTAATGATTTGGACAGAATAATGGGGCCAGATGGTTTTGTCTATATATTGTTGATTATATATATATTCAAAAGTTACCAACTTACTTGAAAATGTGATTCATCAGTAGTCCTAACATTAGATTCTAATTCAAACAGTGTAGTATCCAAAAAATTGTCTACATTTCCATTAGCATAGTATATATCCTTACTCATACAGCTTGTCACCAATGTTTGGTCATCTCTTATAAGGCTGACTTTCCATCTTGGTACAAATTTGTTAACTAAGTTGTCTGTTTTTATGTCTGGATAGAAGCGTTTGAGGATTGAATAGAAATTTTCCACCCATGGTTTCATTACAGCATCATGACCTAAGTCATGCTGATAGTCGCAAAGCCCTAAAAAACTTAATTATTACTTATGATGATATAATTTGTTTATAGAGACTTAAAAGGTAAACTTATATATTTCATATATAAACCCATAAAATAATAATAATATATAAGTTACGTAATAATGAAATCATATACTAATTGGCCTTAAAACAACAAAAATATTTTCAGATTCATAAATACAGACTTTTTCATTTATCATAAAATTGGCCGTGTGAGTAAGGTATATAATTAATATATGTAAACAAACCTATATCAAGTAATGGCGTTGCTCCTAATTGCATTAAACGTTTATGAAGTTTTTTACCGACAAAATTGAACTTGGTATATGAGGAATCTCCTAAGCCTAATACTCCATATTTAAGTTTTATTAAAGAATTTGAGGGTAAATTTTTCCTTAGCAAAAACTTCCAGAATTTTTTCATATTATCCGGTTCATCGCCTTGACCAGTTGTAGCGCATACGAATAAAGCAAATTCTTCATGTATAAGTTTTGAGATAGGATAATCATCCATAGCTTGTACTGGCCCTCGAAAACCTAATATTTTGAGTGACCGCCATATTCTTTCTGCCATTTCCTGAGCGGTGAAGGTTTGGGTAGCGTAAAGAACAAGAATTCTAGCTGAATCACACATTTTTTAAGTAAAATTATTGTGTTATTTATAAAATACATAACCTAATCGATTCAAAATTGAGATGACGTTTGATCTTATGACAATTACTTGACGTAATTTGACATACATACGTTACGTCAAAAGGTCAAACAGCTGATATGCAATAGATATAGAATACGAAGCCGGTACCTATCTATTATTCTATTAATATTACAAATTAGTTGTTTTTCACGACTTTGTCCACATGAATGTGAGAATGTGAATGTGAGAAAGACTCTGTTTTCCGCGCTTAGCCTCTCATTTGGGCCGTTGTGCGTCCACATGAATCAGTATATTAAGTATTTTATGTGTTTAGGATATAATCTACTGGTAATAAATTTAACAAAAATCCTCTTAGTTCTTTTAACATGTTTGATTAATAAACATACAAAAAAGAACATACCTACGAGTTTTGCTTGCTGTCTTTTATACTCCTTTACACGCAGTAATCTTCAGACGTAGTTCGTTTTACTAAGTCTATGTTTCTAGCAGTTCAATTACCAGAGGAGTCTGTTTAATGAAGTTCACAGAAAGGTCATTATTGTATTATCTGCATGTTATGTAAAATGTTGTCAACTCTTAGAAAAAAAAATGTACATATCTATTTAGATGAATTTTGATGAAAATTCGACGTTAGGACGTTTGCACGAACCATATTTATACTAAATTATACGTACTTACATTATAAAGAGGAAAGATTTGATTGATTCTTTGTTTGTTTGTGGGTAAATTTAAAACTACTCAATTGATTTTGAAAGATTTTGTATCTATAGAAAGCTACATTATTAGCGAGTAACATAAGTTACATATTATTTTCAATAATTCTATTTACTCATGCGAAGCTGAGCCAGAGGCCTAGTCATGAATATAGTGCTTAGAAAGTGGCCTGATGATACTCTGACACAGCGGCGGCCTTACTCATTACGAGGCTCCGGGTAGCTGGTCTATGCGAGGCCCTTTGTTCTCTGTGAAAAGTATATGATGCCAAAGTAGGTCTGGTTGTTTAATTTAGGTATTTGTCATGTTTGACGAGAAATGTTAAAGTTATACAAATAAATAAAATTGTATGTTCGAAAACAAAATTGTCGCTGATGATTACTCGGGAACGAATGATACGATTTACTTGATTTCAATGCTATTCTATGCGTATGGATGAGGACTAAAGATCGTTCGCGTAGTTTTTTAGTAAAAAAATAAATAAAAAAATCAGGTAAAAAGCGTAAAAAATTGGTATTTGACACATTATATATCAAATTATAGATTCAAGAAAACAATGTTTTATTTTACATATATATATATATATATATATATATATATATATATATATATATATATATATATATATATATATATATATATATATATATATATATATATATATATATATATATATATACACAACTTGCCACTACATAAAATGCCACTCACTGATTGTTTGCCCCGCAAGAGCGAGGCCCCGGGCGTTTGTACCGTTTGCCACCCCCTAAAGCCGCCACTGCAATATTATATGACATATGATATATGACCATGATCGTATATATCGTAGGTCTATTAAATGAAATAAAATGGTCGACTTCTTGGATACCTCTGTCCCATTCGTGTTTCAACCGTAAAGCAACTGTGTTTCGGTTTGAAGGGTGGGATATGGCGTGAATTTACAGGGTACAAAAGAATAATACCTAAGTCCTCAGGAATGGCAACGCATGGGGGTATCATGAGCGAAACAGTATACTCTGATATGTCCATGATACTGCTCATGTCTATAGGCGACGGTTACCACTTTCCAACAGGTAGGCCGTCAGTTTGTTTGCCATTCTGAGTTGTATAAAAAAAATCATTAATTAAACCTTGCGATTTTGGTACTTAGATACATAATGATCAACTTCATATCTATCAACTCCTCAATACAGAGGAAAAATTAAAATGCTATTTAATAGGGAATTTCTGTTGTTATACACACTACGTTTATATTCAATACACGAGCACGTTTTACTGCATTTATATACATATATGGTTTATGTTTTAGTCTGCAAAACAAATCGTCTCAATTATAGTTAATATCGAGACAATAAAACTAACTTAAATTGTTAGAAATGTCTGACAGTTATGTAAAACTTAAATTATGTCACAATTTCGAAAAATTGCTTTGAATGTTTATCTAGGCGCAGTTTTTTTATGGATAAAAATAAAATGTTAGATGCGTCTGCGCTCTCGATATATATTGACGTGGCATCAATGAGGGACGATAAGGGAAGACGAAGCAGGTTAGTTGGCCCATCGCGATGAATTTAACAATTATTAAGCACGATGGTTTCCATACCGTGTGGAGATCGACCTGATACGAGTATGTAGTTAGCACTGTGTTACTAAAAATTACTTTTCCTCCATTCACCCGTGTGATACATGGGTTCTAAGACATGACTACGCAGGTTTGAACTCTAAAAATGTTTGATTGTGTCGGGATAAAATATTTATATATATATTTAAAGATTTATGGAATTGTTTAATTAACTGATTGGAGGTTTTAGGACTTTCTTTCATTTGAGCAAGAATCTGGTGTATTTTCACGCAGAACATGTCAGTAATAAAAATAAATACCTACAATATTTAACTCTTAAATTGGGCGTTTTATTGGAAAAAAAATCTAACAAACTAAGATAAAATGTAAGAACTCCTGTGGGACATTAGTACAAAAAAAAAAAAAAATTAACATCAGAAAGCGGTTTTCAGTAAATTATTACTAAGTTTTTTATGACTTCAAATGTTATATTATGTACGAGTCGGACGTTCAATTTGCTTGCTATCAATTTTATTAAAAATCACGATTTCTTTTGTTATAATTTGTTTTCTTTATTTCTTAGACAAAGTTTACTTAACAGTGACATTTTAATTTTACAAATATTAAATGAACCGGTATTTATATCTTAAAAAGTTAACCCCATTTACCCACCCCTGGCGTTCAATACATTCATATGTTTTTCTCTTTGCACATAAGCAAAGTCGATCTCCCTTCTCGTTCATAATTGGCGCACGGCAGTCTCGTAGCCCGAGTTGGCGGGCTTAGTCGCTCTATTCTAAAAAGGCGGGAAAAATATATCAGTGTAGTGATTTTAATTTTAAATAAATTAAATATTATATTAGTGACTAGAGGATTTCACTAAATAAATTATAAAAATGTGAGTATACATACATTTTTTAAAAGTCAATTATAGGTGTAATAAGTATTTTGACGTAGATATTTTAATAGTAGTTGTCGTAATCTTGTGAAATACGTATCTACCCGGGTAAACGCCATGGGAATAGGATATAATTATATAAATAAAAAAAAAAGTGCAAGTGTAACCCTTGATGGTGTGATAAAGGCATTAGAAGCATTTGCCCCTTTTTACCACTACGGTGAATAAAATTTTTACAATTTAATAAAAAGATTTTTTTTTTTCCAATTGGTTTTATTGTATGTGAATCAATATCAATATTTAAAGAGTTGGGTTGATGTGGCGATTTTAATAGCATTTCTAGAAGAAAAAAGGAGTATACTAGTTTATAATAAGAATGAAATATAAAGTTAATATTATTAAAATTAACGAATTAATTTTAATATATACTAACTTAAGTATTTAAGTATATTAGATTACTAGGATCAGGTTTTTAGTCTGCGGAAGCGATGACTCTACCTAAATGTGATCCAATAACGTTTTTAAATGAGATTGTTATGCTATTTTATGTAGGTAGTGTAACTTTGACATTTTCTCATGGACAGTAATCCTATTTTTATTTTAAGATCATCTGAATTTAAAATAATAAAAATAAAAGTAGAACTGCAGTTTGATTAAATATAAATAAGGTACTTACAATGCTTATAAATATATTTATTGAATGTCTTAGTTAAAATGTAGGTTACAAGTATGTTTTGAAGGAATTCTATGTCAATCTGCAATAACATTCCTTGAATATTTTATATGACTTTTTTTTAATAAATGATAATGTAATGGTAGCCCCACCCTCGCTATCGGTATACACCGGCGGGGCACCAGTGAAGGATGATAGATAAGGATGAAGTAGGTCAGTTAGCCCATCGTGACGAATTCGACAAGAATTGTTCACGATGGTTTCCAGGGGGAACCACGTGGAGGTCGATCTAATAAGGCATATATTTTATATGATTAGGTAGGTATAAATAAATAAAAATATTTTGTGGCAGATATTCGATTTAACAGTGTGTACTTATAAAATATTTTAATATTTTCGATTTCTAATATGACTAACATCAACTAAATGTCACGCCAGACAAATACTTCAGAAATCCTGGATAAATGTCGGTGGACTCTACCAGAGTTCAGATTTTATTAGGTAGATAATAAATATGTATAAGGTTTAGACCTGTACCATCTCGGTGATATTAAAAAAAGAATACAGAAAAAGACATATCAAAAATTGTCATTAGGTAGAATATTTTAAATTTAAATAATCATAACACTGAATAGGTATCGTATGCATAACTTTAAAGAATGGAATTTATAAACTTCATACTACTAATATGCAACAGACACCTCATTTTCAACTTATATTCCGTATCTAAGTTTGTTCACATTAATATAAACTTTATTGATATTATGTATGTAATAAATATAATAAAATTTGAATAAATTAAGTCTACTATTCATGTATTTTACGGTTTCCTTAACTTATGCACATATTCGAATATAGAGTTCATATTTTATTTATGTGGTAGCCTAATTTAATTTTTATATTATAACAAATGATAATAAACACATCACAATAATTATTACGGTAGATTTTATCCGCGATTTCATTCGTAAGACCGGCATAATTATATTTATGGATCGGTATAAAAAATACTGCATTCCAAATACTTTTCCTAATTAAAACCAATTGTTGTGCTTTATATATGTTATATATAAAGCACATTATACATTATACTATGTTATTATATTACATATATATTATATACGTATTACCTATATACGAATATCATAACAATTGGGCAACAAACAAATTTAAATTCACGATTAAAATATTATTAATGGTTAATATTTCTCTTTAAAAATTATTTTAAAGTTCAACTTAAATATCAGATTAATTTAATATATAGATAGATAGATAGATAGATATATAGATAGATATATAGATAGATTAAAAATTAATAATAAAATCAAACAGGATATGCCATGTTTAAAATATGTTTTGGTATATCTTTTTAAATATCATTATATTACATCTGTTACTAAGTTAATAATTAAAATTATTAACTTAGTAACAGTTAAAATTATTAAATTAGTGTTAGTAATTAAAATTAAACCATGGCTGTATTTCGTCGTACCTATCGAGCCATGACCAACTAAGACGAATCAGAAAATCTCGTAAAACTTTTCTGAAAATTCATCCGTAACATATTTAAATTTCTAATGGCTATAGTACAAAAAATTTTGCTGTGTTGTTAATGTGATCTAAACATGAGGCTACCTCATGTTTGGATCACATTATCCGCTTACCATCAAGTGTGATGTGACCATTTTAATCAGTAATTATAAAAAAAGCATTAATTAAAATTTATTGGAATGGTTATTCTATGTAATATCATGATTGGAGCGTATAGCAATAAGGATTCTACATCATATAGCCTACAGGCGAGGCACGCTTGTTTACAAATCAGTATTTACAATTATTTGGCAATTATATTGAATAATTTGGAGTTAATGCAAAGCTTCATAGTATTGCAGATATAGTTGGTATTTTCAGTACAAGTATTCTACATCACATTATGATGTTGTGTTGTGCAGCGTAATGATAATCACACATAGATACCTACGTGTACATAGTTGGAATGAAGCGAGTGTAATGAATAAAGTCGTCTTTTAAGTATTTGGAGTAGATTTTTTTCTTCTCGTTCATTGTAGTCATTCTTTTATTCTATTATATTTATAGGTATCGTAAACCCTTAGCATAAGCCATATAAAATCGATGGATTCAGGTGATTCATAATCAGAACTAATCTTTATCATGTTTTATGGTAGAAGATTCTGGACTTTTCAGTAATAAACAATCCTATGTGATAATAACATAATGACACTATGATTCTTTTACAGATAGATTTTTTTACTTTATTTTTATTATTAGTATGGCAATTAGTAAACATTTATTTATACTACTAGGATAACAAATAAGCATACGACTCGTCTGATGGTAAACGGGTCTACCATAGCTTATAGACGCCTGTAACACCAGGGGTGTTACGCGCAGAACATGCTGACAATCCAAATGACGTTTATCTGTAGGTGCACTGTTATACTCATAACACCTTCCATGCGTTCATCTTCTTGAGGACTAAAATGTTATTAATTTCACATCAATAACGATCCGAAAATTAACCCCAGATAAAAACATACCGAAATATAAATAAAAGATGATAATAGTTATCTACTATCCCCCTCACACACATAGGAGTAAATAAACGGAGACCTATTAATATTAAGTAGTATCTATAAAATGTGATATACGATACAAGCAAGCCTAAAGTAGAGGCAATGATGGAGTTATCATAGTAATTCGTTTATCATAGAATTTCAAAAGAAGAATTCTATATGAATATAGATTACTAGTACTCTTACTGATCTATGTCATCCTTACGCGCGATTTATCGATCTTTTCTCTAATTAAAGTATGTTTTTAAAAAAATATAGAAATAAGAACTAAGTGAAATTCCTTGTTCAAGATATAATAGAAAACGTAATAATCCACAATACAGCTTTATAGTAGCTTTATAATGCACTGGTGATTTGTAACACAGGCTCTTCAAAACCTACTGCAGGCACCAGTCTCTCAGAAAATTGGTCTCACATATTTAATTTTACCTCAAATTGTTACTTTATACTTACTACCTTTTAGGAAGAGAAAATAAACCATTCATTTACTCATTCACTCATAGTACCTACTCGTGACATTGAAGAAATTTCAGTAACAATTTTTCTTGTGTGTAGAATTATTTTTATTTAACAAATAGTCACCGTCTATTGTAATTATATTTGAGATACAATTTATAATTTTACTTGTAACTTTGTTTAACTGCGTAATATACTTCTGAAGTGTAAAACAAAGGGAAGTTATCGCTGGACTCGTTGTCAGTTATCCTTGTTAACTAATTGTTTTATAACTTTTTACAGGAATGTAGAAGATAACCTACATAATCGCAATGTTTATAAATGGCACAATAAGCTATATATATATATATATATATAATTAATCTAAGATAATCACTTTCTTTGGTTCCATGAACTGTTTAAGCACAGTATAAATAACTATTGGAAATAATTATATTATATATTATTATATTGGTGACAGCTAGAAAGTCTTCAGTTCCGTGAATATTGACTGTAAAGTAACTGGAAAGTTCAAGTATTTAATTTATGGTATGGTTATCATATATGGACATAGACTTCTGAAGAGCTTGTGGATAAAAATAAAACGCCAAAATTGACGATCTCGTGGTAAACCATAATTATATAGAGCAGACTAGGATGATTGGGATTTTCGCAAGAAGGTTTTGAATGGATCAAGCTACAAATAGGAGAAAACCGCAGAACAAAAGATTGACTTATGATGCAATGCGTCAAATACAATATATAAATTATCATTGCCATATTGTTTTATCTGCAACCAATAATTGTATAATAAAAAAAAAAGATACGTACAAGTGTACCAAAAATTAGTAAATTAGCGCCCTCTAATAGTAATGACATATTTACATTCGCTTTCGCGAAAATGGCAAATAATAGCCATCTTATCTATTCTTTTTGTTTTAATTACTTCATCCCTTTTAATTTATTTGATGATGTAGTGAAATGTATAAATGAAATAAATGCCTATTTATACAGATGCTGAGTTCGGAACATTTTTTCAGTAGTTTTCTGAGCGAGCTATGAATTTTAGTATTATAATAAAATTTTAAACGGACGATCTCTGTGCCTTGGAGATTTCTAAGAAAAAAAATACATATAAGATGTCTTAATAAGAGTAATAGAAGCCAAAATAATATTTTTTAGAAATGTTATCTATTTCACTGTATATTTGTTTTAACGTCACGTAAAAATTACAGGACCTATTATTTTCACAGTTGTATTTCTGAAGGTCTAATTTAAAATCTGATATAGGATTTATC